TTACAGCGCCACTAGAATGAGATAGCATGATTTTTTCTCTCTCGCACAATTTCGACGAATAATGGCGGACTTCACGTGTCCAGACTCTTATTAGAGGGTCACTAATACGGGCAACAGCGCTTTGACACCAAACGCTGATTGGTGAAAAACCGGTGCCGAGGGTAAAATTTACCCCCATAACCCGTTTTTCACCAATCAGCGTCCGGTGTCAAAGCGCTGTTGTCCGTATGAGGATCCGGGCTTAGGAATTTATACCTTTCTCTCTCGCACAGATCTTGGACACACTTTTGGTCTATAGGCGGCATAGGCAATTTCTCCTCCATGTATATATGCTCTAAGGGTGCAAACCCATGTAGCGGAATAGCGTAACGCGGAACGAGAGCAGAACCAATAACGAGCATTCCGTGTTTCTAGAGAATCTCGTGATTGGTTCTACTCTCGTTCCGCGTTACGCTATTCCTCTGCATGGGTTTGCACCCTAAGGCTGGAGTCACATTGAGCGGTAATTACAGCGGAACGGAACAACGAGACCAATCACAATCGCAGAAAGTAAAGCAGCGGAATGATTGTAGAGTTCTGATTGGTTTCACTATTCCGTTCCGCTGTAATTACCGCTCAATGTGACTCCAGCCTAAGGATTGGTTGCGGAGTCGTCGTCGTATGTACGACGAATTCGGATGCAGTGTAAATTCAGCATTACTTCGTGGTCGTATCGTAGCATCGTTGTATATTTGTACCATGAAGGAAGATATAAGGAGACTCCACTCCACTCGGTCTCGCCAGTCTACAAGACATGAACCCATTTTAGGTTTCGAGTTCCGTTTCCGATTCTCGACACTCGCAGCGCTCGTGAATTTAGTAGTGCTGCGCATAATGAGTGCGAGTAAGAGAAATGATCATTTCTCTTACTCGCACTCATCAGAATCGGAAGCTGAACTCGAAACCTAAAATGGGTCCACTTTTATTTTACGGAGTGGAGTCTCCTTATATCTTACTTCCTGATTTGTACATACATACATACATGTCGTGTCGCTCGGTGTCGCTACTTTTGTCGGCATGACAAATTTCCTAACCTAAATAATTGTCATCTGTTTTGATCTTACAGATTCTTTCGCTAGTAGACGAAAATAAAAATGTTTGTTTTGGCGGAATTAAAAGATACTGTTAGGGTACCACCAAGTAGTTTTAAATTTAAATTAAACGACGTCATTGCTGACGAATTAAACAGAAAGCTCGCTAATAAAGTAAGTTGTTTGTAACAATTAAAATAATAAATTCACTGTTAAGCTGGAAACACAATGCGAGGGAATAGCGATAGCGATAAATTTCAACTTATCAGAAATCGAATACACCGGAATACATATTTTTAATAGGTTGAAACTTATCGCTATTCCCTCGCATTGTGTTTCCAGCTTTACTAAGAACTATTTTATGTATTTTTATTATAGGTGTACAAAGATGTAGGCCTTTGCATAACATTACATAATATTACGAAGATCGAAGAGTCATTTATTTTTCCAGGAGATGGAGCTTCTCATACAAAAGTAACATTTAGATTTATTGTATTTCGTCCATGGATGGAAGAAATATTAATAGGAAAGATTCGTAGCTGTAGTCCTGAAGGAGTACATGGTAACAGTCTATTCATATGATTTAATTTTTTATTATGCATATTATTTGGCACATTTCAGTTGACAAAGGAACGGCTAGCCTGCTCGTCGAGCAAATAAACATAATTGGTTATTACTTAGAATCAATCAATCATATTTGATCGCTCGGCAAACGTATCTAGTCACTTTGCCATCTTGAACTCGTCCATTAGCTGCATTCAGCAGAAAAAACAGCTTTGCAACTGTTGTAAAATTCTTGAATATGATTGTCCAGCATCTCAGAATGGCTTAAAATGGATTGGATTTTGTCTATTTGAATTCGTATTTTAAACAGCGAAAACTTTTTGAATTCAATTGGATTCAATTAGATTCAATTGGATACAACTGGATTGAAAAACTGTGTTTCCTATTTGAAACTATGAATTGTACAATATTCACTATGGTCACAAACGCACTAAAAAAGCTAATATTATTTTATGATTGAAAAGTATACAGATATGCTCCATGCAATTCCTATAAATGAATAAAAACGTATTCGGATTGAAAAGGATTCATTTTAACATTCATGAATTCGTATTTCTGAAAATTGGAATCCATTTTAATCCATTTCAATCCATTCTCAGATACTGGGTGGCTTATACATTTAGATCTAATGAGAAAGTAAGGGCAATCATATACTTCTTCTACTAAACGCAGCCATGGATATTTATTCTTTGTATTTAATATATGGATTTCTAAAATGGGTTACCATTTATTTTTATTTCTTTATTCATAAAGAAAAAATTTTTTAATCAATTATAAAACCTGTGTGTGTGTGTGTGTGTGTGTGTGTGTGTGTGTGTGTGTCGTACACACAGGATTTGTAAGATTAAATTGATTAAAAAATTATTTTATATATATATATTTATACACACGTATAGACTAAGAGGATCAAATCTGGGACCAATTGTATAAATCAACTGTCCTGATATAAAAAATAATAAGTTACTTCATTAAACGTATCAATATACATTTAGGCCGGTATTCATAGTCGATTCTTATTTTAAGACTGTCTTAAATAATGTCTTAAGATGCTAAAGCGGCCCTCTGATTGGTTCGTAACTCCTCAACATTGAACTTAAGACGATCTTGAATATAAGAACTGACTATGAATACTGGCCTTCGTATCAATAAACATTTTATTTTGTTACAGTTACATTAGGATTTTTTGAAGATATAGTTATACCACCTCATAAATTACAGCATCCATCACGTTTTGATCAAATGGAACAAGCATGGGTTTGGATATACAAGACTGAAGATGGAAAAACACACGATCTATTTATGGATGCAGGTCTTATATGTACATGCAAGATCATTCAGGGGTGGACAAAATACTCAAAAAATTGTATTAAATACTGCCCACCCCTGAAATTATTATATATTAATCTAAGATAATATATCAAAGTTGAAACATTAAATTTCAGGAGAAGTTATACGATTTAGGATAGTAAAAGAAATTTTTACAGAAGTACCTTTACCATCAGCACTTAATGCATCTCAAGATATAAGTGAGAAGCCAGAAGCCAATAACGTTGCGCCATATATTTTACATGTATGTTTACAAATTCTTAATGTTTTGTTATTATGTTTTAATTTCGATAATGTTAATGAAACAATATTTTATAGGGATCAATTGACGAACCTGGTCTGGGTTTACTTACCTGGTGGCAAAATGCATAATTTATTACAATTATTAGTCTGAAGTAAACTAAATATATGATTAAAGTGAAAACAATTCTGGTCAATAAATTTTTATTTCACAGCACATTCCATTGTATTATATCGTCATTAAACATTGCATCTGTGAGCAGTATTTCACAGTATGATTTGGGTTTTTAATATAGATTTGCCTGTATAGATATATTTACGTTCAGTTTTGATTGATAACAGAATTATATAGGTATAGTAGATTTTTTACAATATATACAAAGGTGTTGTGTGCCAAAAATATGTGATATAACTCATAAAAATGATTTTTGCATGTTATTATTGGATTGCTTTGCAAGATTGCAACTTAATTTTATAGAATATATTTCAGAAAGCTATTGCTGTAATGACTGTAATTCATAATCATTACATCACATAAGACAGCATTTTGACAATTTGAAGATAAATATTTTATATTAATTTACAAAAGATGCATAATATGCAATATAATATACTGTAAAATCAATGTTTCTTAAATTTCAGACTTTTCTCCAGCAAATATTTAGCTCAATTATATTGCATTATATATAATATTATTTAATCGAAAACAAAGAATGTTAGCAAAAAGTCTTAAATTTAAAAAATACTGATTATGTAATAATATATATGTATATATGTACATACGTTGCAATGTGTAAAGCGTTTAAAAATGTTTTTGTATCTTGGATGAATAATGCAATGATAATAAATTAAAAAATATATTCTTTGGCATTCTATTGCTGTTGTCCCAATGCGCAGCTCGGATGTGTAGTACTTATTTAAATTGATTAATATGATGCACTTATGTAGTCATTTTAATAGCTTATCTATTTAAATATATATCAATGAAAGATAATACGACACGTACAAAGATATAATATGACGTAATACATAAATTATTAAAATTATTTTGCGAAATCCACGAAATATATCTAATTATATGTTACATTATAATTAATATACATATACTTAATTAGAAATCACAAAGAATATATAGCTAGTAAAAAGTCTTAAATTTAGGAAACACTGATTGCATAAGGATATATGAAGATAATATAAGGATTCTAATGTTTTATCCCGTTATCGTTATGAGTGCTATAATTATCAGACATGATTTTCTGTCTATAATACATGTATCAAAACAAATAACACGAATCTGTATTCATGATAGATTGCCAGGTAATACGATTTGGAATGTTATCTTTTGTGTAATTAATATTTGCTAAATACTTTCTTTCAAGTAGCGTACATGTCAAATGTGTGTTGTAGCTGTAATCACAAAGAACTAATATATCTGATGTGAAATATATCGGAATAATGCACACGATTTGGCGGAGACAATAATCGATCAACAACATGTAAACGGTATATTCTTAAAATCATTATCAAACTTCTTCGCGGCTGTTGCGTCCGTCAAATGCTCTTGATAATGTAGTTTAAATGTATGCGAACCAATTAGAATTATGTACAATATAAATTTATCACAGTTCTAACTGTTAAATCTCTTGCTACATATGTTTATTATTTGGACTTTCTATATTACTAGGAGGCAAAAAGAAAGACTCACTGATCTCTCTTTTCTGATGCATTATCAATCTTTTCTAATGTACAATATTGAATTTATTTTTGTACATGATTATTACATGTATGAGTTTTCTTTCTATTTTATCTAATTGATATAGATACAATCGCAATCTTACATGTCCGTAGAACATGATTACGTGGTAGAATGAAAAAATACGAAACGAACAGAAGTGCATGGAACGTTAATGTATTAAAAATGTCTATGCATTATATGTATATTGAGGGCTAGTATTCTCTTAGACCATTATGAGGAAAATGTAATTCTTTCATTATCTGGACGTCAGTTGCTTCTTATGCTGCTCCTATCAGTTACACTGCTTTCTGCATCTTTCATTCAAAATATTGCTTTCTGCGATTTTTTTTCGATTAAGATCTGTTTAACTTTTTCTGTTTGACACACACGTTTGCATATTACAAAGAATTTTATTCGCAGATATTTTTATTAAATGTTTATTCGATGATTAGGCAACGTGGTAGATGTTCACGTAAATAGTCAAACAGTTCTCGGGACGTTCCTGGACAATTAGTTAGTTCTAACTCGTGTAAGTGTCGAAGCTGTATCAGACTAGATAAACCACTACTTGTGAGCAATGGACAACCTATATGAAATTGAATCTTATTTAGTATATACATTTTTGTATCAAATTAAATTTATATAAATGTCTCAACTTTTCTTGTATAAGTAAAATATGTAGCAGAATTATACATATGTAATTAAGAAATAAAAATAACGATAAATGTTCACCTTTACACACCCCGTTCCGAATGACCTCCGAGTGACCTTGACCTTGATGAGTAACGAGCGATAGAAAAGGTCAGTAACCTTGACCTCCTTGAAGGTCAAGATCACTCGGAGGTTATTTTAAGCGGGGTGTGTAAATAAGGTGAACATTTACCAAAATAACATTTGCGTTGAAATTACATATACTTTTCTAAAAAAAAGTTTTAATAAACTTGATGTATTATACAATTGATTTCTGTATAGAAAGATTTTTTCTCTCTTCTTAAAGAATGTATATTTAAAATTTTTAGAAGTTTTTATTTTTCTAATGTATATAGATGTAGAAAATAAATTTTATAGTTTATTGTACAAAGTTCACAATATTTCATCATACAAGAAAAGTCACTTAAGAGGAGATTTTAAAGACGTCTGATTTACCATTTATAAATGTTTAATATTCGTATAATAATTACTTTTTCCTCTTTTATAGATCAGAAAAATCTTTTTTCGAAATTAAAATATATGCATTTTAGTACGTGTTATGTGTAAAAGTGGAGTTTATATAAAAAACAACAAAAAATTTTGGAATTGAAATATCTTAATTCTTCTTTCTACATTTCTTGTTGCAATATATGACACTCTAGAACTATTATTACGTCGTGACATTTGCTTGATATAAAAACTGCACAATCTGTACTTACGAAATATTAGTAGGTACATACGGTGTTCATACTGTCCATAGACTAGTATAGTTCGCACGAAACAACGTGTGTGTGTGCGCGTGTGTGAGATATTGACATAGCATGTTAGTATAAATAGTGATGTATCAATGAGAATTTTCCAACAAAAGACACAGTGAATTATTACGTCCTTGTTGCTTGCCAATGTTAATCAAACATGAAATGATCATTGTGCTACATCACTGTAACACAATGATCATTTCGTCTGTTGAAAAGCCCCTAATGACACGTAAATCGTCTGTATGTCTTATTTAATCTCTTATTTAATCGGTAAAACAGACCTCTTTAAGATTCCTATAAAATTATTTGTTAACTAGTTAAATTAATTAATGCAATCTTACCTGCCACAGATAACACTTGTAGAGATCTCATGACACATAAATGTTGAAGTCCGAAATCTCTAAGTTGTGAACACCATCTTAGAAACAAAGCACTCAATGAAACCATCGTGGAGATGTAACCAACGCCGATATCAGTAATGTGTACACACCTGTAATATGCAAGAGATACAAAAATGAATGCATTATCACTGAATGCAATATATTATTCGAATGTATTAGAAACATGAAATAATAGACAAGATGCATACATATATATATGTATTACCATGATAAATAATGTAATAATTAATTTCTTGGTTGACAGTCCTAATTGAAAATTTATTTATATTCCAATAATTTCATCTTACCTATCTAATGTGAGTTCTTCTAAGTTATTCAAATCACAGGCGATATATTCTAAGGCTGCATCTGTAATTCTTGAGCACCAGCTGAGATCTAAGGAACGAAGTCTTGGCAAGTTTTCTGCAATTAATTCAACTCCGTCATCTGTTACTTTACTGCATCCAGAAAGTGACAGTACAGTCAGATTAGGTAAGGAATGCACTAAAACAAAAAAAGACGAATATATTAATTTCATATTTTATTACAATATAAGAAAAATATATAATAATACTTTAAAATAAAAATGTATAAATAAGGTCATTTGAATATGAGTTCTGATGTACAGTATTTGTTATATTACATTTATTATTATCTTTGATTTTAAAAATAGAAATTATATTTAAAAAAGCGTAAAAATTTATAAAGAAAATTTGCTTATTCGTGATGAAATGAAAAACTGACCTTTTAAAGTAAACATTTAACGTTATATATTTATTTTTCTCTTTACCATATTTTTTATTTCAATTATTTAGTAAATTTAATTAACATTAGTTAATTTTGCGTTTCAAAAACACAAGTACTTAATAAATTTATAAAATTTTATTATTGGTATAATTGAAATAATAATTCTCTTTTGCAATATTCTATTTAAATAAGGTACACATTTGTTATCTACCAAATATACACACTTATTTTACTAGTACGCTTTACTATAACTTGAGCTATTGGTAACAGCTAAATAAAGCTATATGTTCCCCTTAATTCTAAATTTAATCTCAAGCACGTATGATGTACCTACTTTAATTTCGGACCATTTTTTATTTGTTTTACATCTAATTAACTTTGTCATTAACAAGAGCAGCAATTTTAGAATTGAAACTAGAAAAAGCTCGTATTTTTAAAAAATAATTCCATTGGTTTAATTTTTTAATCAAGGAACAAAGATTTTTAACTTTTAACTTTTTTTAAAATAAAGTTTTATCGCATTTCTCAATAAATGTTGTATAAATTTGTCTTCATTTTTTTAAACTGTTCGTTACAGAATAGATTATCTTTTTATTTTAAAACTTCCCAATCCATCTTATATTTAATACGTAAAAACACGTCGAAATAAAACAATTAGTGACTCTCACCAATATTTACTACGCCGTGATTTGTGAGCTCCCAGCAGGATTGCAGTTTCAAGATGCTAAGTGCACTGCTTTGCTTTGCACTGAAGTAACCAAGAGCAGCGTCAGTAACGTGATAAGCTTGCAGAGAAAACTCGTAAAGGCTCGGCAACAGCTGAGCCACGGCGCCGACGGCTTCGTCGGCGACATTAATGCAATCCGACAAAGACAACGATACTATTCTGGGAGTAAGGCATGCCCACAGGCCAGCCTCTGTTATCTCATTGCAGCCGGCCAATTCAAGCTCATACAAAGCCTATAAAAATAATGGCAAACCGTAAATCGATTCGACACGTATCTATACAAGAATTCGCAATTCTTTAATTATGGAGCCTCGTGCCGTAAATTGAATCTTGATTTGAGTGATACATACGGCGCATCTTCCACTCGCGAGCAAAGTAATTCAAACAAAAGCTGATCGAGAATGTATGTACATCTGTGGATATAGTGTTGTTATTTACGTAAAATTTTTTGATTTCGAGCGTGTCGAAAAATTCGAATTACGAAAAATTGTAAATATCGCCAGATATATACATACATATGTGTGTATAAGTAGTCAGAACAGCGCTATGATGATAGATAAAGTAGAGAAAATAAGTAGGACATAAAATTGACCTGCAAATGATCCAAGAGAGTTTCAAGACCTCGGTCCGTTACTGCGCAGCATCGCAATGACAGAGAATGCACGTAACGTTGAGCCAACGGAAAACCGCGTGTTAATTCCGGAATATCTTCGTCGGTCGCACCTAAGAGAACTAGCGAATCGAAGCCTCTTCTTACTAAAGAAGCGTAAAGTCGGGTACGTGCGTTTGGTTGCATAGCGCGAGCCTCGCGGCATCGCACCACCGGCACCAGCCCCGTCCAAAGACGCGGTCTCGCATACAGGACGTCTCTCCATCTCGTGCAAACCTATATGATAACGATAATGCGGCACATTTGATTTGAAGATAAAACGCAGGGGCTATGAAATTTATATTATATATATATATATATATATATATATACATGGCGTCAAGTTATAATTGTATATTTGAAATATAGACAATTTCACGCACCTGAGCCAAAATTCTTCTTTCCGTCGAGTTAAAGTAGAGAAAAAATCGCCCAAGGAAATTATCATCTTGCATCAATTGTTCCCAAGTAATCGGTGGCACGTAACCGCCGGTTCCTCCACTGGCCAGGGGAACGGCTATCTTCATCCTATTTCTGGGTATTCTACTTCTGCTCGGAGTAACGTTATTCAAGCGTTCCTTATTATTTCCTACTGATACTACGTTGTTAATGGTCTGTGCGGCACTTCGACTGGGCTTTTCGGGCGTCGCATTCGCATTATTCGCGCTTTGCAAATTCATATAAGCAACGCTACCACTGCCACCGCACAAGACGTTTGTCACGCGTTCCATGACGCTAGTTTTGCCGCTCCCTGAAAAATTTCAGGCCAGTTTCAACATTTTCCGTTCACGAATTAAAAAAATTCACAGAACACAAATTACAATCAAAATCATTATATCAAGGTTACAATTCCCACTCAACAATGTACATAATATATTATTGAATGAAAAATTATAATACCTATAATTGATGTAATGTAACGTGACCAATCGCGTTCTAAATTGTATTCTGAATTAAGGATATGATTATGAATTGTTCTTCTTTTAAGTGTGCACGAAAATAATAAGTGTAAAATATATTTTTCAACTAAAGTAATTTTCTTATTAAAAACCCATCACTTTTAATAGAAAAAGTACAATTGTAAAAATGAAATGTGAGATCTCGTGTACCTTGATATAATTTTGGTTGTGATCTCATATGTATGATGTTTTATACATATTACATTAAGTCTTATTAGTTATTTATTAATACAAATATAATAATATAATATTGTTTATATGTACTTTAATAACAATTATAACAAAATATCTATTAAAATTTAATTAATATACCTATTAAATATTAATATATTAAATTTTTTCTAAATATTGTTCCTATTCTCTTCTTAAAGAGTTTGCTCGCTTTCAAATGTAATATTACTGATAATTTGTGTTCTGCAGAAAGACAGCAAGTTTGCAGATTAAACAGTAATTGGAATATATTCGAGTGTGGAAAATTCAGAGTTTAAGGAAACAAGTGGATTTTAGAACCATGCAGATAGGATTAAAAAAATTTGTGAAAGTAAAAATCTGCAAAACTAAGGAGTGGAAAATTCACGGAAGGATAAGAACAAAATATATGCTGGATTTTAAAAAGAGATATATATATATATATATATATATTGTGTATATGTACATATTGAATGTTAAGAAAATAAATTAAGAAAGCAGGAATTTATAAAAGTATAGACTCTCTCTATTTTTTAGTTCAAAATTTTATTATTTACGAAATTGTAAAAAATTTTTTGAATTGAAGGAAATTAAAAATCAATATAAAATTCAGAATCGTTAAAAGAAGAGTATAACGTACAAGATGACACAAGGTATATAAAGCAACTCTAAGGCCCGATTGTGTGTGCATCAACAATGTTACTTTGACTTTAAGCGAAGTTTAAAGGCTCTCACTTTCTCTCTTCAAATTCGAGAGAGAGAGAGAGAGAGAGAGAGAGAGAGAGAGAGAGAGAGAGAGAGAGAGAGAGAGA